CGCTTTCCTTCAACGTTATCCATCGACGTTCCCCCTCCAGACCGGCGGAGCGACGGAGACAGCACCTGGATGCATATCGTTCCGTCCTTTAGAAGACGCGGACAACTCCTCTCACAGAACGCTGGGTCTATTTATATATAAGTCTATGATGTGCATCTTTTATTGTTACAAAAGTATTATGGTTACTTTATGTTAGATGTGCTCATTTGTTCAAATGATGTTGCAATGTGTATGAAGAACAGTCGTAAGAATCGCACACAAAATGACATAAACTGCATTTGCATGTAGCAACAAAGGCCCTTAGCGTAATAGGCCAAATTTTAAGAATAGGAAGAAATGTTAAGTAAGAAATTCAAATTAATTGTTTACAAATCAAGAAAATAGTATAATGTATCATAGTAAGAAAGAAGAATTTGGAACAAGTAATCTATTTCGTTTCTCTTGTTTCATGTAACATTATTTCAAATCCCTTTTCTACATATTTATTATGTATTTTTATTCCTAATATTTTCTCTATTGTGCTCAGGGCCTGAGTGTTCGTTCCATCTTCCTGCTGGTTATGTTCTTTTGATACAAGTTTTTAAAAATGTCTGGAAAATCCTAACAAATTTTAACAAAATGTATCAGAACATTATCAACAAAGAGATGGCTTGTATCAAAAGAGAGAGTTAGGATTAAATTGAAATGTGATAATTCGGAACCAAGTTCACTAAACGTGGATTTGGCTTTATTCGTAATTTGATGTTTGATACAGGCTTTATTATTATATATATATGTAGAAAACTTGTTTTATATGCTCTTTCTCACACTAGTGGACACTGGTAACCAAACAGGGTCTTGGCAGTTTAAGATAGAATGTACGATATATAGGTAAATCGTCTTTGTATAGAGCTATATTGTTCTATTCTATAAACTACCAAGAATAGTAAACGTTTGTATTTTACATATCTGTTATATATTTTTATTCGTACTTAGTAATTTATATCACGAGAAAAAACGGGCAAAAACGCCCGTACATAACACGTGAATACATGCGCGCTTGCATGTTTCAAATATCTTCTTTTATATTTGTTTAAATAATAATGACAAAAATAAAAAATAAATTTTAAATTATTTCATAATTATTTCACGGCGTACGTTAAACACAACTATAAATCATCGTCTTCAATGTCTTCATTGTCTGTTTCTTCTATCGGATCTTCGTCTAAATCAGAATCTAATATTTCAGACGACGCATTTATCGCTTCCTCAGAAATAGCGTCCATTTCTGGTAACGTAGTTTCTTCCGACGATGTCTACAAATATAATAAATTAGTATACGAATTAATTGCTTCTCCTTGTTTGCTTATTTCTTTTTTTTTTTTTTTGACTTGTGTTAATGTATGGCAATAAAACAAATCAAAGTTCGTGTATATATAAAAAAAAAGAGATACGGATACCTGTGAAAGAATTTCACGGCCGTCTAAATTTTTATTGACAAGATTCCCCATCCAAAAAGCTGATCCGCTATCGTTGAGTACCATCATTGCTTTGACACTGTAAAGCAGCTTCTCTGCTAATGATTTTGCCGCAGGTATATATTTAGTCATCAGCAAATTTTTCTTTTCTATACCGTCAACACAAATCGCACTTAAGTAGCGCGTACCACCTAAACATATACAAAGTCAATGCCATTATATTTCTTTTTTTTAAAAAAAAAAAGATTAATCTCATGTATAAGTCGTATCCGTTTGTCAACTAAATAAATTTTTTTATATAACATTATTAATTATATATATATAAATATATGTAAAAGAATTAATAAACTCCATTATTATATAAAATTATAAGATCGCGGCATTTTATGCGCGTGTGTGTTTATATGTATATATTAAAAAAAGTAATTTCTTACTTTGCATAATTTTCAAAATACTAATAACATCATCTGTTTGATATTTCAAGTTGTGTTCGAGTATTGGCATGCCAGTGTTTAGAAATTGTTTTATCAATAGAGGCATGTATCGTAGAAACAATTGTACGGTGGCCTTTCGCTTTAAAGTTTTACATATCTGTATAAGTTTTTGAATATTCGAAGCAACATTGCGCCATACTTGTATTCTCTTTGGATCTCTGAAACATATATGTATACATGTAAATTAAAAACAAAAAATTATATATATACATTAAATATATATATATATATATATATATATAATTATTATTAAATTTATAATAAGAAAGCAACATATATAAATGCCCCAAAAAATTGCGCACATTAATTTAAACTCGCGCGCGCATTGAATATTTTTACACTGAGTGCGGACAAGCTTTTTAAATTGTCAAAAAAACACATAAAGTAAAAACTGTACTTACGAGTTTACCGTTAACAATGATATATTGATACCCTTGATGAAACCATCGAACAATTTCTTATACAATAAGTGGAAGGTATTTCCATTTATCGAAGGAATTCTCGTTAAATTATTTCCACCTTCTTCGAAATTGGAAACTTCACTCGGTAACCATTCCAAAATCGATGTTACCGTATCCAACGGCGAAGGTTCGTTGTCTATCCAATTGTTCAATAACTGATTAATAAACAATCTATATTGCGAACCGGTGTGCTTGTCTTCAAACCATTCCAGACAGAGAAATCCATATGCTAATTTTGCTAAATCAAGAGAACATGAAAAAATGAGCAATTTTGTTGTGAATGCGCGAACTCTCTCTTCAATAAACAATCGGACATTTACCGTGTTTGTTCTTGTATTGTTGGGTGTAGGTTTCTGAATGTTTCATTAACGACTGACACATGTTGACGAGAGCGGTAGCTAATGATATTTCGGTAGCTATGTCTGACAACGATTCGAAATACTTGTACGATTCCGCGACAAGTTCCTTGCAAGACCGCAGTTGCGCATTGTTTTTGTCAATTTGTTTGGCCAGAGTACGCAGTCCTTCTACAGAGAGAAAGATATATATATATCGACGCGAATATGATTAACATGCCACACGCAAATCTTCAAAATTAAATAACAAAAAAATGCGCATACCGCGCAGCAAAGTGTTGTACGTTACGCTGAAAAATCCCTTCCAATTGAAAATTTTTGCGAGAAGACACAGCAACAATCTCGCGGCTTCTCTCAAATCGCACGTATTATTTTCTCTTAGTTTATTGACAACGTCGTCCAATTTGGCACAGATCTTTGGCAACAAGTTTATTAGATCTTTCACAAAAGATTCGGAAGCTTCGCTTTCGAATATCGACAGAAGTTCCCTCACGACGAAAGAGGCTTGCTTTGTTGATATTGTTTGCGTTCCAAGCTGCGACGATTCTATCTTGACATCCAGAAGATGGGCTATCTACATGTACAATAACGTTATATGACCGAACATTCCGTATATTCGACAATTGTTTTTTTCAAATTCTATGTAGAGTGTTATATTTTAAAATTGCTACATATTTTTCTAATTACAGGCCAACAGATTTTAGACTAGAAATTTGTATTAAATAAAGTATAAATTTTCGCAACGTTTAAACAATCAATGTGTTTAAAACTAACTAGTGCAAATATTACTCATTTTATAAATATTATTTTCAAATAAAAATAATTTGACATACCTTTGCGTCAAACTTTCTAAAATACGCTGGATTCTTAGAACACAGTGTGGAACCGAACTCCCTCGACGACGTGTTCTCCGCAGTTGCGTTAGATTTCTTTTTTTTACCTGTCTTCTGTCCTTTTTTACTAATCTTCTTTTCGATTGTTACAAACGGAGGTAGTGGAAAGTAATGAAAGTAACACGGTGACGGTTGATATTTTGTGTCGCATAAAAGTAACAGTGTATTTAGTTCACCTTGCAAATATATTAAATTATCTAAACGTTTTAGTACTTGGTTTTGTAGCAAAAGATCTGTTTGTGTGACAAAACCCGTAATTACTTCTCTAAACCTGTAAAACACACACATATTCTTTATGTAATGTATTTATAATTTGAGAGAGAGAGAGAGAGAAAAAGAGACGAGAAGAAAAAGATGAATAAAATAATAGAAAAAATTTACAATCATATCATAAACAATTATTGCGACATAAAGTTTTCACATCGTGTGAATAAAGAAAGTTTATAAAAATTAAAATTAATAATTTTTATAAATTACCAATTGATACCGCATATAACGAGATCCAGTACCGAATGGTCTGGTATATCAAAGTTTTGGGGCATCAACATTCCACATCCCAAAAGAGCGTCTATAGCCTCCAATTCTCCTCGGCTGCTAAGCCTCATGTAACATGTCTTGAGAAGTCGAAACAATATCGGTGCGATTGGACCGCTTCGTTTATTTCCAAAATTTAAAACGCAACTTTGCGGCTCACTTTCAACGTTATTCAGTCCAAATTTAGGTACCAAATCGTCGCTGTAATACAAGTATTTTTATATAATGCTTTTTTGTTATTTCAAAACACACGACTCTATTTATAAATAATATTTAATAAAAGTTCATATTTTCTACTCGCTAAAATATCTCAAATCTCTGTAGCAAACTAATATGAAAATTTCTCATAACACAATTCTTATTTTTTCCTAATAGAATTTTAAATAAAAGAACGATTTAAAGTATCACACTTACTTCTGTTGTATTTTATCCGTCATATATGTGTTAACAAATTCATCCTCGATACGGTTACTTATTGTTCGAACAAAATTCGCATCTATAGATTCGGTTTCGGCAATTATTTGCGCTAATTGATCATAAAACAAAGGTAGCGATTTTGAACAACTTTTCACGCTTTTCATTACTCTATCTGTAAACAATTGCAACTTACAAATAATTGTCGTATATTTACACTAAAGCATATATATGAAAATTTATTAAAATTTTACTTCTTTCTCTATCTCTCTTGTTGTGTAATAAACTAATTCCAAATACAGAAGAAAAAAACTTCGAAATAGTTTTCGTTTGTTATTCGTTATTTTTATAAACTGTATTATTTAGTTACAGCTTATATTACAATTTGTAATAACACATGTGTGTGTGTGTAATAAAATAAAAGCACATACCAAATAACTTCAAAGCCTTATCACTAGTTTCGGTCTTCACTGCTGAATGTTTTATCGCCATTACCGCACCCATCACACCTTTGCATTTTGTACTGAAATGTGTAAAATTTATTTTAACGCATTACATATATGTACAAAAAAACAAAAAAAAATAAAATAAAATAAAATACAGTGTATTTAATTCTGTCCAATTTCTGTCTTACATCGGTTTGGCAGCGGACAATTGTTTTTGCAACAATATAAATAAATCATCTCTTAATAATTCCGAAGCGGAATCGTCGATCAAGCACAGCTTGTGCAACAAGTCGCTCAAAATCCCAACTTCCTCAAGTCCGAAGCAATCTATCTTTTCTAATAAAATTCTCAGATGATTGCAGTGCGTCACCAAACAATCTCTCTCTACCGTGTCCTCTGCCATTTTACAGAGCACGGTAAGCGTGTGTTTCATGGTTTGATCGTTGTTACCCATGAGAAGAATGATCTTCTCTATGATCTCACGTTGTTTGTACGCGAACGTGTCTTTCTGAATGACAAACTGCAAGCGGAACCACTCTATGCCAAAACTAATAAACACGTAATCTTTGGACTTTAATAATTTACTTGCCAGTTGCAATATTAACGGTTGCAATTCTTGAACAACCTGAAAAAAAAATGAATAACTCGATAAAATTTATAATATTCCGTTCAAGTTTTAGATATTGTTTTTTTTTTTTGTTTTTCTCATTTACACAAGATGCGTGCAAACCTGTTTGTAATCATTGTAAAGCGTGTGGAGCAAACTTATTCTGTAAAATCCACACTGCACATTTTGCTTCAACAAGGTTTCGGCAATTTTTGGCTTCGCCGTTCCGCCAAATATCAGAAGCAAAACGATTAGATCCAACGGCTTTGGATTCTTATTGATATCTTTTATCACATTTAACGCGGAATGCATTATCTCTTTGTTCAATAACATACATATTTTTAACGCTTTAACTATTTGTACTTGATTTTTGTAACAGTCCTCGATACTGTCTCCAGCCAGTGGTTGCGTTTCCATATTTCGCAGCGCGAGCACGAGTTGCTTGACAATTTCGGGACTTGCGCAATCATTAAGCAAAAACCTGCGATCACACACAATCAAGGAGATCTTAAATAAGCGCAGCGCTGACAAAGACACGCATAAAATAATAAACAAACAACAAAATTTACTTAATGACGGTCGGTATAAATTCCACTTTCATGTTTGTTTTTAACAAATGTAATATTTTAAGTTTGTATTCTTCCAAATATTCTTTGCTAAGATTGAAGCTGGTGATGCAGTCTAAAATTGTAGCCGTCAGTTCGCAATTTTCTTCCAACATGTTCGTTAGAATCTCGGCGATGTGTTGATGTTGGGTATCCGACAATATGTCAGGCAAGAATAGGACAATTTCACGTTGAAACCACGAAGGACACGTTTCCAGTAGCTGTTCTATGTTTGTAGTTAATACGTCAACATCGGCTATGGTGTCCAAAAATCGGAACTGATGCAACAGTAGCAATGCCCAGGGAATTTTCTCTGGACTATCACTAGAACAAATTTATATAAAATAGTTTTTATATTCAGAATTTTTATTGTGTTCATTTTATATCGCACGTTTCCAATATTGCAATAAATTTTAAAAACATGCAACGGAGACACAAATAGATATTATATACATACGCCAGGAGAACAGATTCATTAAGTTTAGACACAAAGATGTTATACACATCCGTTTGGATTTCTGTAACTTCCAGCAGTATTTTTGCAAGAGACATATTGTTCAGAACGCTGTAACTCTTGTTGTCGGTAGACAACTCCATGTTGCTTAACATATTTTGAAAATTCTCTTCGTCCTGAACATACTGTTCCAAGGAATCGACAATGTCCTTTTTCTGATACTGCTTTGAATTAAAAATTTTTCTCATCTTCCTTTTGGCAATCGATGCGGAAACATCTGTGTGCAAAAACGTTTTGGATAAAAAAATTAAATGCCATTTAAACAGAATATGTGAAACAAAGAAACAAAAACTTACTGAGTACGTATACACCATCGGTTGACAATGTAATTCCGCTTTTTTGCAGGAAATTCACAAAAACCGACGATACATGACGAGGTTTCGAATGTTCTCTTGTATTCTTCGATCCGTACTTGTCTGATTCCACGCATGAATTAAGTTCTGCGTTCTGTCTCTTCTCAGAAACATCATGTTTAGCGGTTGGCTTAACGGGTGATGATCTGCGAATGGAAGAAAGTAATTTCTCGGGAGAATCATAATTACCATTACCAATTTTGCCGGTACGCTGCGAGTTTCTGCTCGATAAAATTTTATTCTGTTTCTTCTTAACAACCGCGGACTCGTCGTCGTCGCATGAGAGATCGTCCAAATCTCGCTTCTCCAAATTTGTATTCTGACATCCACCACCGGTTAATGCGACCGATGATTTTTCTGTCTTCTTTGTTTCCGATATTCTAGTTTCTAACGAACATACATTCTCCCGCTGGCTCGTATCGAAGATTCTGCTAGATGATATTTTATCAATCGCTTCTTTCGTCACCGACGACTTGGTTGTTTTCAACAACTTACTGCTAACACAAAAATTATCATTTTCTGATAAATCATTGTCAACCTCGTTAAAACTTCGTTTTTTATTTTTATTGATAGAAGAAATACTACTCAGTGGCGAATGATTCAGTGATTTTAACACCGACGATCGTATAGATGACAATCTGTCATCGTCGAACGATGATTGACTCTTCTCTTGGATACTGTCTCTTGTTTGTTTGTTGCCAAAGACAGTGTCGCTTCTTTCCGACGACTGGCTGACCGGCAATAAATTTTTCTTAGACAACAATTTTCTTCTGTCCATATTTGATTCAGAAAGTTTTTTTTCTTCTTCTTTTTATTTGTTGCAATTCAAACCTCTCGCGTTTGTGCGATGTGTTGTCTTTTTAAAACTTTCTTCAGCCTCTTCAACTGGAAGCTATTGCTGTTTTTCTTTAAACATCCTTTATTATTTTTTCTTCATTATTTTTTTCCTTACGTGATCTTTCACGTCAGCCTCAAATTAACTTTTTGTTTTTAGCACCGATTAACTCTGACAACACCATAATAAATTAATATTTTACATTTGGATCTTACAGCGTATGTTCGCAACCGATGCAACAAGTTGAATCGTGTCCAGAGCGACGAATGACGTCACTCTGATGGATTTCATCAAATTGGCGCCAAAAATCGGGTGCGTTCAGACAACTCAACGGTTGAGAGATCATCACTTATGATAGGACTGTTCTTCAAAATCTGAGAAGCGGTTCCAACAGTATGATCCAATCAGAATTGATTATCTCTCAACCGTTGCGCAACTGTTGAGTTGTCTGAACGCACCCAATAAAGCCGGGAACACATGAAAAAGCTGAAGTCTCGTACAGACGGAACGTTTCGATAACCAATCGAAATGCTGCTTTTCCATAAAAGAGCAAGATGCTGATTGGTTACCGCGTTGTTTCACGGTCACGCGTAATACGTTGACGCGATTGTCTACAGAAGTCATTGAACAAACGAGAGACCGGGATTCTCAAGAGCGCTTGAAGGAAATCTTGCGCAACCAACTTTTCAATTGGCAGCGAATGAAATTTCAGAGAGAGAGAGATCTGATTTAATTTTTCAATTTTTTTGAGAATCATGTTTGTAGAAAATTCGATTTTCTTTAAAACAGTACCTGATAAAAGATGTACATTGTACATTTTATTTAAACATTTATATAAAATTTGTGTGACAAAGTCTCTCTCGGTATTAAACTATTTGAGAAAACGGAGCGTGCGAGAAGTCCGGCTCAATCACCGGCTAAAAGATTGTTGTTTTTTTATACATCGAATATTAATCGAATTAATATTCAATTTCAATTGCTGTACAATTTAATTTAACGTGTTAACAAAAATATATTTTTGCGTGTACATCCAGCGCATCTGGGCCTTGTTACTTCTCTCAATTGTTTTATTTACAACCAACTCTTGTTGCCTCAGTTTTATAAAAAGTTTCTCTCGCCGATCAATCTCGCGAGATTGGCGCATTCTTATTTCTAATCGCCAGTGTTTTCGCTGAACGAGTGTTAGAGCGGAGACCAGTTGGTTTTAAGTTGAATCAAAATTACGACACGGTTCTAGAACGAGAACCGTTTCTTTTTTTTTTCAAAACTTCAAACAAAGAGGAATATCGGAGGAGCACATTTCTTCATCAAACGCTGCGACAGATTGCTTGGGATTGTTAATGAACACAGGCAATTCTTGAGACGATACTTCTTCGTATTTGTAATATCGATCCGGAATATTCGGTTCCTCTAATTTATTCGCGTCTCTTTTAACTTTATCTGACTCGGAACTGCGAGTTGAAACGGAAGTGTTTTCCGCGCATTCGTTTGTCGCTTTGTCCGTGTTATCCGCTGTTTTATCAGCGACACTGCAGTTTCTCAGGTTCGACACGGTTTCGAACAAAATATCCGCGGGTTTCTCGCACGAACCGTCGTTACCTATGTCCAACAGATTTGTATTTGCAATTTTATTCGCATCGTTTGCCACGTTGTCACAAGGACCGTTAACTTCCGAGACGAATTCCGACGCCGAGCCTAATATCAGAGAATCACCGAATACATTCAGCTGATGTATCTGTTGCTGTTTCAACAACTGATCTACAACCGTGTCGCTTATATCAACGGAAGCTGCTGGACCGCAATCGGGCCTCTTCGGTCTTTCTTCTGCAATCAGAGCCAAGTTTTTTTATATATGCGTAACCGAAATAAAAAAAACATATACTCAATAGTTCGCTCGTGAAATTGTCAAAGTTGAAACAGGCCGATACGAGCAATAATCACAAGTTGGTCTGTGTATAAAGTATTGGATTTATTTTAAATATCACAAACGTTTCGGTTCTTAGGATTGGACCTTCTTCAGTGTGAATGATACAATGATACAATGATACATTGTATCATTGCCCATGTTCAGCAGACTGAGCAGATCAGCGAGCGCTTAGTGATTCTTCAATATGATTGGTTTCTACACTTTAGATCCAGCGAAGATCTAAAGACAAGATTCAATCATATTAAAGAATCACTGATAGCGTTCACTGATCTGCTCAGTCTGGTGAACGTGGCCATTCACACTGAAGAAGGTCCAATCCTAAGGACCGAAACGTTTGTGATATTTAAACAAATCCAATACTTATACACGACCAACTTGTGATGATTATGTGCTCGTATCGGTCTGTTTCAACTCTTAAAAAACATATACATTTGTGTACTGATGTAAAACAAAAAAGTTTTACGTTTTAATATGTCGCACGCTACGTAATCGGCAGCTCTGAACAATTCTGCTTTCATCAGAAGATCCAACAACGTTCTCAACGTTGGTCTCTTTCTTCCCATTGTGCTCCACTCGTCCAAAAACATCTGAGCCGCGTTGCGCTTGTCTTTGCACGCTGTTTGTTCTATCATACTACAAAAACACAAAAAAAAGACACCACGTGAATTCATTAAAAAAAAATTAAACTCTTGTGTTTAAAGATTTTATAATTTTATTACGTCAAATATTTGATTGAATTTTTATTTCGCAATACATCGTCTTTCGAGATTTACAGAGAACACATACAGAGAAAATAAATTAAAGCGAATTCACACAATTTTTGATTGTTTCCGAATAACACGCGAGTCACACACGCAGATATGAGATGCTTGGTTTTTTTTTTTTTTTGGCAAAAACACATCTCAATTGCACTAAATGACATTTGATTTTTTTAATTTATCTTTATATGTAGATATAAAGACACACACTCTCACGAGCGATTGTTGCAACACACATTACATGCGTGACTCACGATGACAAATCTTTTGATTGAGAAGACAATATAACACCGCGATGTTGTAATAAATTTTTTTTTTTTTAAGATCGACGTGCGGAGCGCGACTCTTTTTCAAGTCTCTTCTATCACAGTTCTTGTTGATGCAACAACAAATCTCTAGGATCGCAAACTTAAACAACAAGATTTAGAAACTAAAAGAAACAAAAGATTTTCTAATTCCATCTACCTGATATGATCGTTATTAAATTTGGGAACATTTTCGCGTTTAACCACAAGAGCCATAACTTTTTTCCACGAATCGGAGAAGTTCAATATGTTTCCTAGGGTGTACAATTCGGCGGGTTTCAATTTACGTATCTCCGTGTCCAGGCACACAGCACACATGTTCGAAATAATAATAAAAAAAAAAAAAAAAAAAA